CCCTCCCCCCCACACTACAGAACAGCACTTCCTTCTCCTCGTTTGTCTGTCCGTCCGTCCGTCCATCCGTCGTTCCTCTTTCAGTTCCTCATGAAATACACCTGGTCCTTAGACTTGGCGGCCGAGAAGATGCACTGGATTGCGGAGAACACCACTTTAGGCGGCTGTGCGGCGTCGACGGCCACGTGCAGATCCCGCTTGGAGTAGTAGTCGACTAGGGGCTTGGTCTGTCGGTGGTACGAGTCCAGGCGTTTCTTCAGTGCCTCCGCGTTGTCGTCCGATCTCCTCACCAGAGGCTCCCCGGTGATCTGGAAACGCGAAGGACTTATAATAATAATAGTAACAATATGATGATAATAATGACAATAATAACAATATAATAATAATATGATGATGATGATAGTATAAAATGAAAATGATGATAATACCAACAACAATAATAATAACAAAGATCACTTCTATAGCTCCCACCCAGCACCTAGCCACTTCACAATTGAAAAAATTGGACAATAAAAATCGACAGCAAACACAATGACACATTTCATACATATATATCAGCCCATTCAACATGTACACGTATGTTTGTAATTAATTGCATTTGATCTCCCAAATGGGACTCTGTGCTGTTTTTTCCACTGGTTTAAGGACGACGTTCTAGAAGATGTTTTTGCAACTTGTGCCTTTGCATACTCTTAACAGGGAGAGTATAATAAGGCTTTCTTAAAACCTCTCTTGGTTGTACATTTTTATCTCGCCTGTACAAAAACTGAAGGCATGGACTCGGCGCACAAAGGGTTAACAGAAGCAAAACTCACGTCGTCAGTCATGGAAACCTTGGGTGGATTGAATTCCTCGTGGTAGCTCCGCCCACTCTTGATGTGGAAGAGGCGGCCGGTGATCCGCCGCACCAGGAGCGAGTCGTCGATGGAAAACTCCACCACAGAGTCCAGGGGGGACTTACGCTTCTCTAACAGGTCGTCCAGCTGTCGGGTGGGGGGGGGGTGGAGTCAGACGGGGAATGGGGAAGGAAAAAGTAAGACATTTATGCTTTGAAACTTGACGTTCAAACCAAAATTCCATCTATAATGAAGAAACAATCTTGTTCTGTGAACATCTTTGAGATGGGCAAAAATCTTGGTCTTGCCCTGAGATTTAGTCACATTTTCCACAACTTGAATTTACTGCTTACATAAATTATACTAAATTATAGAGAAAGTTCTTTTAATTCTTGATTAATACGCACATAGGTACCGTATAAAAAAGAATTTTGACACATGCTGCGTTACCTTTTCAGCTTGAGGAATAGTGCGAGGGAAGCCGTCGAGGAGGAAGCCATTACGGCACTCCGGCTTGTCCAGGTTGGAGTTGACCATCTCCAGCACCAGCTCGTCAGTGACTAGCTGACCGGCGTCCATCACGCCCTTGATCCTCTGGCCCAGCTCACTGCCCGAGGCCACCACCGCCCTCAGCATATCACCTGTGGGGAACATCACAACGTTTGTGACAACAGTCTTCATGGTGGGTATTTTTGCTCATAATCATAATACAAACTGGTGCGTGGTTGTCGGGTGCTCTGGTGTGGTTTGCTCCTAATTCTTTCCTATCAAACATTTATCGCCCATTTCTCCCCCTTTTTTCTATGTAATTTACTCTCTATTAACACCTCTAATCTTAAGCACCTATTTGACCTACTTCTAAAAATATAATACATTTTTCTTCAGTTATACACCATATTTTTTTAAGTCAATATTTTATTTTCCGACATATTTCTCACTTAGGAATGGATGTAATAAAACTACCGAAAGATGAAAATATTCCTTGCGCAAACTGCTTTTTCTAGCAATTGTAGAAACCTAATTATTGCAGTGTCCGCATAATTATAGCTTATACTGTAATCTGAAAGACCTACAGATTTAAAAAAAATCATTTAACTTTTTTTCGCTTCAGAAAGATTGCACAAATAACAAAGAAAAAATGGTGGCTCTCCATTGTTTTGTTTTATGGTATTTTTGGATTCTTGTAGCTGCATGAACCATCACAGATAAATCAAATATAGGAATAATTAGAGTAAAAGCATTATCTGCCAGTGCCTGAAGAGAGCACGGAAATTCTTGCCTTTATACGACCAAATGCTAACACGACAGACCTACCTGTTGACAAGTGACACACACAGTACTTTTCTGCCAACATCGGGGCCTTGGGAAAAAGAAAAAAAAGAAATGATTCATTACAAAAATCTAAGTGCAATGTCATCATGCAGAACCCCCCCCCCCCCCCCCCATCTAAATCTATTATATTTCATAGCTTCAATTCAACCACAAAAAACTCAAACCAACCAAACTGAAAAATTTAGTGAAAATTTCATGAGAAAAAAAAAAGAAAGAAAAAACTATCTGCATCCCCAGTAACAAGTCAAAATAAAATTAACTCTATCTCCCTAAAAAACAACTGGACAAGAACATTCCAACACTCAAGGTCATATATAAAATTTTATACATTCAAATATAAAAATATAATAATTACCGGAAAATTTGACGGCCGAAGGTAACATTTTAAGATAAGATTAAATCTAAGGAAGCAAGCTAACTGACAGCATAAAATAAGTAAAAATAATCCAATATAATCTAAAATTTAAAGAAAGGGAACAAGTGGCAAGGGAAGACCAGATTAAAGAAAGAATTTAAATCAGAAAGTCATTTGTCGTCTCATGAATTATGATGGTAGGTTTTAAAAGTAAAAGGCCTTTCATATCATTAATTAATAAGGCCACCTCTATTCTCACCCGGGGTGAGAATAGTGCAGGCGGGTCTTGTGGCTATTCTCACCCGGTGCGCGTGTCAACAAATTTTGCATTCACCCTAAACCACAGAATTCTACACTGTGATAACAGAAAAATTGTAGAATTCTGTGCTGTGAACAAACGTTCCATTACAACTGTACTTGTAGCCTACTAAAAGCGTACAATTTTGTCTGTGGGCAGTGGAGAGAGAGAGTGAGAGAGAGAACAAAACAAAATGGCGACCCGCGTAGTTGGGCTCGATTCGAAAAGTTAAATAGCCGTAGCATCTTTGTAGACAACCAAATTAATTTACTTTTGTGTTTTAACATCATTTTTTAACTTTGTTTTGGTCAATTTGATCGTCCACACCGATAGACAGTATTCAGAAAGAGACAGAGAGAGAGAGAAGAGGGGAGGAGTAGATCTTGCGAGAACTTCCGGGCGGGTGAGAATAGCCACTTTCAATTAATAATGACATAAAAAAACATGACCTCTAAAGTGGACTCTGTATTTTCGGATTGTCACGATGACTTGGTTTCCACTTGCTGTGTCCTCAGCTGAACAAGCTGACTTATTGACAGTGAATTGTTGTCACTACAAACATTTGGAACTTGCGCAGACAGGACTGCCTTCATTCATAGCAGACTATAAATAAGGCCACAACTGTGTTTGTATTTATTCCATTTCAGTCACATCTCTTCTAATCTCCACCCTTTCTGCACTCTTCACTGTCCATATCATACACGTTTGACCCTCTTGACCCGCTAAATGCCGATAGACAGGGTCAGCTATACTAAGAGGTGTACGATGTATACCTAGATTCTAGATCTAACTATCGCTTTCACTACGTTTGTTTCACCTCACTTTCGCCGGCCCGTCGGATCTCGTGAATTCATTCTAGAACGAGAATCTATATCTACATTAACACGATACTTCTTAGAACTTACTTGAGTGCCCTTTCCAGAACCTGGCGGTCCTAGAAGAATGGCATTGATGCCATTAGATTCATCGCGGGAGGCAGGTTGTGGTGCAGCCGGCATTTTGAGACAAGACGTGTGTTCTCAGACTCACTGATGTGCCCGTAACCTTAGGCCTATGAAAAGGTGCAGAAAAAGGTCAAAGTTAAAATCAAGAACGGGATTTTGATGATAAAAAAACAAGAAGTCACTGCTTCAGAAACAAAACAATAAAACATTGACAAACTGAAAATGAAAGAAAAGATCGAATGAATGATAGAGAAAAGGACTAAACAGATGAGATGAATATAGAAAAATAAAGGTAAGGACGTAATAAATGGAAAAAGCTTTGAATAAACTACAGAAGAATTGAAAAAGGATGGCCCAACATTAAAAAACCCAACGCACTCGTGGCAGGCTTTTTTTTTGTTAACGGCAAAGAGGTTATAAATAGAACTCTTTGGTTTACGGTCAAAGGGAAATAACCATGAAATAAACATGCCGAAATAGTATATCCTACCTATCTCCCTTGATTACGAGTTCTATCAATCTGAACCGCCTGGACGCAAAGAAACCCGAGTATTAAAATAGTTAAAAGAACGTATAGATTCTAAACCTATGTTTTGTGGATCTTTAAGCTTCAGCCTCGTCGTCTCCCTTCTACATAACCAACTTCTTTACACTCTCGTCCTCCTCCTCTGCATTCTTCTCCCCATCATTCTCTTCCTCCTCCGAGAGCGAAAGAAAGACATTAACACAAAGAGATGTATGTTATTTAATGTAATATAAAAAAATATTTACTTTGGTATGATTATGTAATATTTACTTTGGTATGATTATGTAATATTTACTTTGATATTGTTGTGGAGGGTTACCATTTTGGCACGATTTTAACAAATTCCCAACAATCAAACATTAGTTTTTGTTTTAGTCTCGACACTTGCTACAAAACATGTCAAAATTAAAAGTGCTGCAGATGAGAGGTGTTTCTACTACTGCTAGAGTGTGAGAGTACATGTATCATAATAGAAACAAAAGAAGGAGGAGAGAAAAGGATGATTGATGTTTGCTAGCAAAGAAGGAGCAAACCTCTCCAGAACACCAGTCAACCTCCCACAAATCAAACCTTATCATATGACTTTTAATTCACGTTCACGACTGGAAAGGTTTGCTGAAACACATCGAAGCTGCACCCACTAACCCTCCACAAGAATCAGACAAACCTCATTGTTGTAAAGAGTAGGCTCTTTTCCATTGCACGCAAATGTGAGTTCGATTACCAAGTGGGAAAACTATTTAATCGAGTAGCCTACTTCAATTGCAGTGTCTGTGTCAGTGGGAAAGTTATTGATTTAGCAAGTTTTGTCCAAATTATCTAAAATGGCCACCCATTGTTCGGGACAAAAGTGTTTGTCGTAGAACAGGTGGATGTTTTGGACAGTGTCATTATACTTTAGAAAAAAAAAAGCAAGCGGGGAGTGGGAAGTGTCCATTTGTACAGGTGACCGTCTCAGACGGGTGACCGATAGAAAAGGTTGGACTGAACCTCAGTTACTGTGAGGGGGATATGTCTGGTATCTTCATCCATCTGTCTGCTGGGGATGTTGTACGTTGTATCCCACTCAGCCCGCGCTGGCCCCGACAGTCAGGTGTGAAACAGCCCGCCTCCTAAATTGTCCAGATTGTGTCCATGGGATATACAGTATAACACAGATAGCTTGAATCCATTGGGACCGGCCTCGGTAGTTCGAGGGATCCGCAGTTCGAGGTTTATCTTACAAAGATAAAGAAATAAAAATTTAAAAACCGGAAAGAGGGCACATTTCGACGGATGCGTGATTTCGAGTCTTCTGCGTTCGACCAATCTGCCTTATGCTCATACTGTATAAGGACATTTTTACAAAACTGAAATAAATGACAGGAGAAAGATGTGAAAAGGTGGGAAAGAATTTCTTTCATCATGATGAATATTCTCTGTACAGACAACGTAAGGAGATAAACACAAAAATACACAAAAACATGCACATGTGAATGATAAGAAAAATTCAAATTCAGTAGTTTATAAGTTTATTATTTAAAAAACAACCCTTTTTTCACAGCAACAGCCATGTAAGGAGAAAGAAAATGACATCAAATCATCTAAACACAATGTGAAAACTAAAAAAAAGACACCATTAAATGACCATTTTTCAGTTGATTTGCTTCTCTTTACTCAAACAAACAAACAAACAAAACAACATCATGAATGGAAGACCCGAGTGTGCTGAAAGACAAAACTTACAAAACATAATCTATGACACAATACCTTTCACTACAGACAACAACTCAGTTGGTATTTCTGTGGTGCAATGGTAAGGCTCATTGCCACTGCACACAAAAGACATGGGTTCAACGCTTGGGAATTAACAAATATTTGACTTTCTCCACCTCCATCTCCTAGGATGTTGTATCCTGGGGGTTGGGGGGGGGGCAGGGTTGAAGCCCCCACGTCTGACTGAAATGATAGAAATGATAATTCTACCCAACTGAGTTGTGTCAATGGGGTGCATCAAACACTACCAATCATTTCTGTCACACAAAAAATTGCCCTAAAGTGGGATGGCCATGTACAAAGATTAACTGTCAGATGTAAAAGCAATCATGAATAGAAGATGAGTAGGCTGAAAGACAAAATCTTCTTTAATAAAACAAACTATTTAACCCTTTCACTGCCAGTCCTGCTCTGTAACTCCACCTAATAGTTCAAGAGTGTTGTGGCTGGCAGTGAAGGGGTTAAAGCAATTCTTTGCACTACAAACAACATTTCATCTCTACCTACAGTAACTGACAGGGAAACTCGTACTGTACTACACGTGTTACATTACATACTGCAGCACAGACTCCAGGAGGATGAGATTCAGATAAGTTTACCTCTTCATTTAAATACAAAAATGAGCTCCAAAAGTGCAGTCTACACATCAAGGTATGAGCAGTTCCTTTTGGTCAACTGTAAAATATAAATACTTTCAGTCCATTTGTCTGTCTATGTCTCACTCTCTTAAGATATGTGAAGTCCACTTAAAAAGCTTAAAGAACACAGTTCATCATAACTTAGGGGGAAACTGAAAGAAAGTAGTTCCCCTAATTTTTTTCTTTGCCATTTGAGTAATCTCTCTAAACTGAGAGTACAGCTAAACCAGAGTTTGAACAGACTCTACTGTCTGACACACCTTAATACAAGAGCACATTTCAGTAAAATACTTAAACCAGTGAAATTCTTCCAGTCTCAAGCTTGACTTTAGAATGAAAGACAGAAATGTGCCAACTGTAAGATCTTACAAAATATAGGGTACATTGAATATTTAATATCAGTTTACAGTAATATCTTGTGGCATGGATTGATTTTTCTCCTATTCCAACGGGTTTAATTTCATTTTCCATTCCATAAATTGAGGCATTCGAGGGAGACAAGTCTTCCTCCTACTATCTTTAACGTGATGGGCCGGAGCACACACCTGAATGTGACTGCCCTTACACACCCTTCAATGGATCAAATGCATGACTCGACATACATGGTGTATATCTAGCAGTCGACGCAAAGGAGCTCAGATGTACACGTCTTGAACAGTTCAAGAAGGAAAGGCTTGGATGATCACCCCTGTGACCTGAAAATGAACCCATTCAGTAGCATGTTTTACAATATACATTATATCCTCCAAGTGCGAACAATCTTTCCCCTTAAGCCATAATCTTCAGCTGGTACAAATCAGCCAGCACTGTTGACTTCCCACTGAGACCCCCATGGAACAAAACTTTATTGGGCAAGACAAAACAAACATGCCCGGCCCTGCCCACGACAGACGTGTTGAGCTTGTAGAACACAGTTGGTGACTTGAGGGAAATCAGAAACATTTCACCGACAGGCTCACGGCTTCGACCATCGAACGTTTCACCACCGTGGACCAGCAAGCAATTCCCCCCTGCTGCTGTTATATGATTTTTTCTTCCACACGGAAGTTTTGACATGGGAGATTGTAGTCTGCCATGCAATGTTTCTAAAATTTTGGAGATAACACTACATTGATTCCTTGCTGTTCCCTTAAAACCCTGAGCCTTTTCCAACAATTTGTCATCCCTCCCGCCGATAATAAATATTTCATTTCCAACAATGTCGGCCGTGTGTCCTGACCTTGACGTTGCTTCTCTGCTATACTCTCTGTACCTGAATGCCCCAGACAGAACATTCCCACTCAAGATGAAAACATTGCCATGTTTTTTCTGTATCCTGAGGCTTCCCTCTCTGCCTACGATGATAACGTCCCCATTGATCAGCTGGCAGGCCGTATGTGAGCTCAGCCCAGCACCTTCAGGGAAGCCAGTGTGCTCCATCTTCAACCATTTGTCTTCTTGAGCGTCGAAAACATTGACATCAGCCGTCCTCCTCTTTCCATCCCAGCCACCAATAAGGATCAGATACCTGTCCTCTGAGACAACGGCTGCGTGGTGGCTTAGAGCCGGACTGCCGGGGGTTCGGAGCTCAGCCCACATCGTTGATGTGAGGTCCATTCTGAAGAGTTGATTTGATGGTTTTGTTGACCCACTTTCTAAAATCCCTCCATGGACATATAGGGCCCCTCTGATCACAGCCCCGATATGAAAGGCCGCTCTTGGACCTAACGGTACAACTGGCTCCCATTCCAAACTAACAGTTGGTCCGACTGACGATGATATAGATGTAGTTGATGATTTCCTTGAAGTCTGAAAAATGCACAATATGATAGAAGGAGTGAGAAACTATGAAAGAACAAAGGTTTTTTACTTTCTAAATTTTTCCCCAGATTGTAGGTAGCTGGTAAAAATTTTAACACATTCCATCTTTTTCAGTGAAGTCTATTAGATGAGTACATTTTAAATTTTGTTATTCTTTCATTCTTGCTTTACATGCATAATCTGTCACTTCTTACAAAGGTAAAGCTTAAGCACATTCCTGGGAAGAAACATTCACAAAAGAAAAAGTATAAAATTTCTTGCATGTCCATATTTTCACTTCGGGCCCTTAATCGGCAAAACGAAAACTTAACTACAGGAAAATTCAGTGCATATGTTACAATTAGGTTTTAACCGTGTTAAAGGTAAAAATCTGATCAACAAATATTTATTAACAATCAAAGAATCTGCGGTAATGAATGTAAGTTCAATTAATTGCAAATTATTTGTATGAAAAGAAAAATTCTCCTTCTGCTGAGAATAAAGAAAGTGGGAAGGTAATGAGTTTAAAAAGGTTCCACAATCATAGACACCTAATTTCTCCCCATCTCTGTTACTTAAAAATGTAATGAAAAATATTACAAAGTGGGATGTTTGGGAACAGTTTATTATCAATGTTGAGTCGAGAACTGCAATAAAAGGAGAAAAGCGGCACCGAGTAATAATTTTTAATAAGCTTTGTAAATGAAAAATCTCATTTTCTGAGATTAGGAACTACTGCAATGATCAACCAGATATCATATCACCTAAATGTGGAACTAAGCATAAAGCTTGGAGCCCCCCCCCCCCCACCCCATTATTCTTTTTTCAAGTTTACTGGTTGCTGATCTACTAATTTGTCAAAGTTGTTTGGAAATCTTAGACAAAACCTATATATCATAAGAACAAATCCTCTGTCTAGGTCTAGTATAGTACAAATTTTCTTCCCAGTCGGTTTCCTTCTCGGTTATTAGGCTAATCCCTGATAACATTATGATTATGATTATGATTATTATTAATTTCTTCCTTCCCAGTCAGTGTGTCGTCAGTGAGTGAAGCGACCGCTGCATTCTCGCGTCAAAACGTTCGCTTCCACTGTTGTGTAAGAAAGACGTTTTAAAAAATAATAACTTCACGGCAAACTAAGAAAACAGCGTGCCTTTACTTTTCTAGCCGTAGCCATTGCGGACGTCACTGTTGTATTTGGAAAAACAGAGAAAACTCTTCAATTAGGTTTTCGTTCAGCGTCCATTACTCTTTGTTGCGAGGGACGCCATCTCTTCTCGCCAGCCCGCTCTGCCAGAACAAGCCCCGGATGTTCACAAGCGTCACAGCGACCTCATGCCCATAATGCTATGCGTCGAGATGAACGACTTCGAGAAAGGAGAATGGTCGCTCAGTAAACAAGAGAACGAAGAAACAACTGAAAAAACGTCCTGAATACTTGCTTCCAGTACGATGCTTCACTCTGTATTGACCAAAATCTGTTAGTACGTACAATGCAGAAGTGATTAATGTTATTTAGATTTATTATATCATTCCCCCAAGGCGTTTGTTTGAGATGTTAGGGCTGGCAAATTGTGCAGTCTTCCTCGTCTTTCTAGGTTCTCCCTTCCTTTCTCTCGTTGAGTGGCCGGAGTGAACAGCCGTTCGCTGTCTCTAGGTCATTTTCCAATTCCCCTTTCTAGTTCTCTATTTTAGAAAATGTATAAAAATTCACTATTGTAGACTTTGCTAAGATGGGCTAAAATTAGCAATATTTTTCTCTGATGATAAGAGTACACTCACTGGACACACTCCTCTCGTTCCACTCCTCTCCTCTAGAATTAGATCAGGACCACCCATCCCAATGAAGCGTGTGTGTGCTGCTGTGATTGTAGCTATAACACTATTCAATGCTTTACAAACATGTGGCCAATTGTGAGAGTAAGGAATTCTATTGAATCAATAAATGTGAGACGTCTACTCACATATTTTGGAAGTATTGTTTTAAATCCTGTTCTGGAGATATCGATCTATAATTATAGCTGAATGTTTACTTGAGGCGAGGGTGTTGGCCCTGAACTCTGATGATTCACAAGTAATGTCACATGGTACAATGAACATGAATGGGCAAGGGAATTTTTGGGATTGTATTAAAAGACTGAAGTTACGAGGCAGAAAATTGGCTGCTAAGGCAATAGCTGAATGGCTAGATTTGGAAGTTAGCGAGAGAGAGGATACTTCGAGATTCATCAGATGTGAACATAGCATTGTCATAGATCTACTTTTCTGTGAATATCCTAGTTTGTTCGGAATTTCTAAAGGGTAATTTTAGCAGCGGTAAATATCTTCCTTTACCCTCCCGAGGATCAGTTTTGTAGCCATTTTGCCTTCCAAATGCTGTCCAAAATTTATCTGGAAACCATACACCTCATTTTAATTTGAACTCTATCCTTGTAGCTGCACATTTGCTCTACTGGAGTCTTCTCACTAACACTTCATGCCCATACCTTATTCTGCAAGGTAGGCTGGCCTGTTCCTAGCAATATTCCATCTTTGAATATTTTATTCACATTTGTTGGATGTGGATAACAAGAGTTGGGATTGGCCCAAAAGTCCTCTCTTTTTACCTGAATCCAGGGTTGAGGTTCTGGTTTAGCCCTAACCAGTAATCATATAGCCCTTCTTAACTGGAATTTAGCAAAAGTGAATAAAGTGTTCGAAACGGGAATATTGCCGTATCTTTATTGTGTCGGTGAGACCTCAGCAAATATATATGAAGCAGTTTAGTCTACCTGTAGGCTCTCTTTTTCAACTTTTTAATGCTCAACCTTTTTTTTTCCACAAGTAGACTAGTAGTTATTATCTGTTGCTAGCCGTTCAAATTTTTATCTTTTACCTGAATAGTATTATAAGGCCTATGGGAGTACTACTAGCAGTAAGTGTTTATGAATTACTCTGACTAGATTTAGATTGGTCTACGACTACTCGGATTCATTTTACTCCAACTGGAATGTCGATTAATCACAAGGCGTCCTGTTGTGTAAATTGGCTGAATGATTTAAATGTTTGCACCTGCAGCTATGCTCACTTTTCAGCTTTCAGTAATTGTCATCTAGGTCTAATGAATTGATCGCTCAAGCTGCAGTCAGTCAAGCTATTTGTGAACTTAAGGTGCCGGTGGCTGTTTTTGTGGCTTGGATTTAGTGCTGAGAAGAAGAGGTGTTCGTTAACTTCATTTTATTTTGAGATGGCTGAGATATATTTTAGGACCATTTGATAATGCATTTTTTAGATCTGTCTTTTTCCTTCCTTTCAAGTTTTAGTATTATTTAACTTTTTTGTTCTTTTTGGGGCTTGCAGAGTTTTGTTTTCGTGTCCAGCAATGTTTATCATATATTATAATAGTATGTTACTTTGTGTGGATTAATTTATACTTGACTTCGTTTTGATTTGGGACCATATTCCTGAACAGTGTCAAGATAAAGATAAATTTTACGAGGATTTAGAGCTTTGGGAGATGGCGTGCATGCAAATGTGAGTGGTTTTCAAAGTGACTAATTTGATTTTGCCCCAGAGTTTCTTTTGGTTTTTGTTGCTCTTTTTGAATGGATTTTTTTAGATTTTCTCTTTTCGAAATTTATCTACCATGCTGTCTTTTGGGGTGTATACTGTATTTATTTATAGGACTTTTTTGAGTTTGTTGTCCTTATTTTAGAGCACACAGTGTTTATAAAATTTTTTTCGTTTCCAAAAGTTGAAATTGTGAATTATAGATATTATATGAATAAGGAATAAATTTCCACTCATTATGGTAATAACTTCTGTTCTCCATGGGGTTTGCAGAAGGAATGTAATGTGTGATTAGGGTATCTGCAATTTAGTCGATACTATTTGGATACAGATGTTGCTTTTTGTCTCATTCTTCTCTATGTTCTTTGCAATAGTAATGAAGACATGGAATATTGAATATTTAAAAAAATCCAGACTTACCCTCTTACACCGGGCTGGAGAAGCCTGTTGTTTATCACTTGGGAAGCATTTTGGTGAATCTTTTTTTGTGTGCCTTGGCCACAACTTGGTGGAATTTCACTGACATGAATGTTTAGAAACTTGCTAACTTGTTGTGTTTGTATTTAGAAATAACTTCCAAAGAGGTCCCGGCTCTTCTGTCCTTGTAACGTTTGTTGTAAGGGTTGCTTTCGATTGCAAGGTTGACCTGATCTGCTTTTCATTTTGTATTACGATAGGTCTAAGTACATTGACTCCTGGGTGACTTTATTGGCATCAGTTGGGTGAACATATGTTTATTACTTTGTGAGCGGCTTGGCACTAGCATTGTCAGTATGTTAATCAAAAAAAGATCGAGCCTCCTCTGAAAAACCTTTGTGTATAACTCTGTTTATGAATGATTGTTGGTTGTTTAAGGGTGCAACTGGTACATCAACATTCTTTTTTATCCCTCTTTTGCAGGGCTGCACATCATTACAAATTTGGCGAAATTGTGATTTTGTTTTGGTTTCAGTTTTATGAAAATATGATGACACCTTTGATTCCGATTTTTTAAAGATTGTTTGCCGTTCTGCAATCCCAACCCATCCTCACTTCCTGGTGTACAAGAAGGAAACCAATTATGCTACAACAGTCTATGCCACTTCGTCAGATGCAGCTGTCTACTTTTATCACCCTCTGTGCACAGAGCCCTTGTAGTCACTCAGTGCCACTCTGCCCTGAGAAAAACATCGGTTGCCCCACAGCCAGGAGGAAGATAAACATTAGTTTGACAAGGTGTTACAAATTCCTGCACTTTGTGTTTTCAGGGACTAGGCCATGGAGAATATTTTGTTAAAAAATGGATCATTGTTTTGAAACTATCAGGTGCAGCATGAGGCATTTTGTGTAGTCATGTGCAATCAGGATTGTTACTCGTCCAGTCGGTTGTTTTGTTTTTGCAAGCGTCAAGCCAACAATTGATATCTAACACATACCCCTTTTAAAAAAACAAACAACAGGACATCAACAAGTGCAGAGTCTCTGTCACGACACTTCTCATTCATCCTTGAACCTACAACCCCTATCCTCGACACTACAGGGGAAATGATTCTCCATGGCCTTAGTAGATTTTTTAGTCGTTACCTCAATTTTTACATGTTGACAACTAAAACATTTACTGGTGTGTAAGCAGCTCTGCTTTTGTATCTGTCCGTCTTATTTCGTTTCCCTGCACGAGATGACCTTCAAGGTACCGGTGTGTTTCTCTGTACTCATTTTAAGCAAAAGATTCACCAGGGGTTGTCTGTTCTGTTTCAGAGAGCAACGCGACCAGATGTCCAGCAAACGGCAGAACTCATCTCCCCAGGAGGACTTGTCACAGGTGAGGCAGCCCATCCAGATCAGCGGCAAGCCCGTGGAGCAGGTGCTCAACAGCGTCCATTATGGCAGCCCCGAGCTGCGCTGTCTGCTCATGGATGAGTGCGACCTCATCTTCGAGTGCAAGGTCTGCCGGGCTCTGTTCCGAGACTTGCCCAACTTCATCTCCCACAAGAGAAGCTACTGCACCGAGTCCTGCCTGGAGAGCATGCACATGGCCATCTGTAGACTTCCCGAGGAGAAAGTCGTCGTGGTTCAGCCGCAGGCCCCAGAGGAAACTGAGGCTCAAGAGGGCGATGCGTCTTTACGGGACGCTGGGCTGGTTCGAAGGACCAGACCTAGCCGCCCTAGCTTAGAGGAAACTGTTCAGCGAATACAGAGTGGGGAGTTGGGCAGGTCTGAGGCGTACAGAGTCTACACGGAAGCTGCAGAGAAACTCCAGAGGCAGAAAGAAAGCATGAAAGTGGCCACTGTAAGAACCACCGCAATACCAACCAACAAAAATGCTGTCTTTATCGATGTCAACGTGACCCCTGTAAATATTCATGAGCGGCAGAACAAAGCGAGTGCTTCTGGGAAAGGAGAGGGTGACAGCAAGACGGCGTCCGGACAGAAAGTTGCGACGAGGAAAGCCGGCGAACGGGCCTCGAACAGCAAGCCCCACTCATCTCAGGCGACCCGGAAGTCTATACGAGAGCAGAAGCACTCGTCGGAGCTACAGAAGCTTCTCATGCAGCAGTTGAAAGACATCCAGAAGGAGAAGAGTAAGACGTCCATGAACGCTGACAGCTCCCAGCACAGAGGAAAGGAAAAACTGACAACTGAAGCTCAGGGCAAACTGAAAGAGAAAACTTTGACGACTCAGAACAAAGTGAAGGAGAAGGTGAAATCTGAGAGTCAAGAGAAAGTCAAGGAGAGAGTATCGTGTGAGGCTCCGCGGAAAGTCAAGGAGAGAGTATCGTGTGAGGCTCCGCGGAAAGTAAAGGAGAGAGTATCGTGTGAGGCTCCGCGGAAAGTAAAAGAGAAGGATGTCTCAGAAGGGGAGCAAAAACTGAAAGAGAAAGTGACACCTGGCAGCAGTATAAGAAAATCTGTCAATTCCGAGGGAGGTCACCTGAAGGTAGCTGGTCAGAGTCCGGGCTCTGCTCTCCCCCAGACCACTCAGAGGTCAAAGGGTAGTAGAGGCACCCGAGCGAGGGCTGACCTCAAAACCGTTTCGTCAAGACGATCAAACACGCCCTCTTTGACAGTGGCTCAGAAAAGGAATGCTGTGTTCACGACTAAAGCCATCAGTATAGCTAAGAGCAGGACGAGGAACGCCAACAAAAAATCCCTCATCTGCTCCAAGTGTAATTCGGCTTTCAGCTCAAGAAAGAGCTTGTCCTTTCACATGAAGGTAAATCATTCTGATAAGAAAACGTTTTATCCCTGCCCTTATTGCCCGAGTGTTTTCTACTACTTTTTCGGAGTCACGCGTCACTTGTTCAGGAATCATTCCAAATCAACTGCGGAAATCGACAGGATGAGAGAGAAGCTGCGGGCGAAAGCGTACAGCAAAACAGTCCCGCCCGTTCCCCAGATACAGAAGTCTCTGATGCAGGAGTCGAAGGGAGTCAGGAAAAGCTCACGAGGCGTTGCTCTCGTCCACACCATCAAACCGGCACGCACCACGGCGAATAGCGATGCGCTGTCGTTCAAGGGAGACAAGCAGTTGCCGTCGCTCTCTAGAAAATCCGATCGGCAAGAGGGGAAGATGTCACCAAAACCAGCCACTTCAAGTGGGAAAAGTGAAGTGAAGAGTGGTGCTGTGAAACCCTCGCTTGATTCTTCTTCTCAAAAACAAGAAACCGCGTCAGAAAGTCGTGCGGAAAGACTCAAGAGCAGAACTGTGAAGAAAGTAGAGGAGAGCGAGCCCAAAACTTGTCCCCTGGAGGTGTCTGTTGAGCCTGGCACTGGTGGGACCTCCACCCCTGTCCCGAGTCCCACGCCTTCCGCCTCGGCCAATGACGACCACCAGGAGGGGCCGTCTCGCACATGTCCCAACTGTGAGCGCTCGTTTGGACGTAAGATAAGTTATGAGAACCACGTGAAGGCTTGTAAGGGTAAGGACTCTGCCGTGCCTCATTTGGCGGGGGCGGTGCAGGCAAAAGACGATCAGTCTTCTGTGGGAAAAGAGAGAGAGAGAGATGTCAGTCTTTCGAGAGGACAGAGGCAGGCAGGGGGTCAGTCTGCTTCCTCTTCGCCATCGGTTGAGACCAGGACGAGAAAGGTGGAACAGATATCACCGGGCCGGAGCAAAACGCTGGAGTCAAAACTCATAGCCAATGGTAGCAGGGCAACCCCGAGCAGAGGCCGGCCGTCTAGTACCGATAGATGGCGCCATCGTAGACCGGACGGGTCTCCTGCATCGTTCCTACGCCGGGCACAGTCGAACAGTGCTGACCGCAGCAGGAATGTACGGAGACGAGGCTTGAGCGGCCGGGAGAAGAGGGACTCGTCGGTGGAGAGCACACAGAGCAACGTGGAGGGCCGGGCCCGGCGCGATCGCCAGTCGGTTCTCTCGAGGTTCGCCAGCTCTGCCGATAAGAACAGGACCACGTCTTCTGTCCTTGTGAGGGGGAACCGACGTTCTGGAGGTCAGCCTTCTGACGGGATATCTCCGCGCCCGGTCAGAGACGGCAGAAAGTTAACCTCAAGAGGATTGGCTGCTTTGGCGAAAAACGATGAACCTTCCAAGCATCCCACTTTACTTGTAAATGAAACCAGCTGTAAACAGGAAGGGGAACAACATTTCTCTAAAGCTGAGGAGTCACGCTCCGGTGTAGCAGCTCGTGCGGGTGGGGTTCCCAGTACCTCCGAACTATCCAGTCTGTCTCAGAACCCACCTGGTGAAAGTTGTGGGAAGAGCCATGAGCAGACAGCCTCTCCCAACAAACAGAATAGTCATGTGGAGTTGCCTTCTGTGAAACGAGAGGTAGTAAAGACAAGTTCACGAGGTGCACCAACGCAGCAGAGTCGTGTTGTGAAAAGTGAGGAAGATTCTAATACACTCACCAAAAGTACGAGACATTTCAACAATCCTCCGTTAACGGCAAAGCAGGAATCTCCAGACAAAGATGAAAAAACTCAAGAGCCAAAGCAGTTGTCAGTCATTCCAGCATTGGCAGACAGACCGAAGCGCAAACGCAAGGTGCCCAGTAAGAATCGGGATGCGGAGGAAATGCTGTCCAAAATTCACAATACTCAAAGAGGACGGAAAAACATGGCTGATGAATTTTCTCCAAGTTCAGGTCCAAGTGCAAAACGCATAAAGTTAGAAAAAGCTGTTGGGAAAAGCTGTTCAGGGGAGAAAGTGAAATCAGAGATTGTTGGGGATACCAGCAAGACAATGGATGTGAGTGATGAAGAAAGCGTGACCAAAGGTGAGAGCGTGAGTGGCTCACCAAACTCACGAGAGAAAAAGCTCAAACGTTACAGCGACACACGAGTGAACAAGCTGGTGGACGAAGCCAATCTGACGTGTTTGGATTGTGGGGAAGTTTTCTCCCAGATTTTCAGCTTGCGGAGGCATATCATAGGACACCACCTGAAGTCGAAGGAAGTGAACGACGAAGGATGTACGGCCAGAGATGAGTCTGTGGAAGACAGCGCCGAAGAAGAGGAGGACGTGGATGTTGGGAAAGGCAAGGGGAGAAATATTTCCAACCGCATCTACGTTGTCGGTAAGTCAAACTCGCGAGGTAAAACACTGAAATGCTACGATCACGTGCAAGTGAACAAACTGGTGGACGAAGATAACATGCGTTGTCTAGCTTGTGGGGAGGCTTGCTCTCAGAGGTTCAACCTGCGGAGACACATCATCCGCCGTCACCTCAAGTGGTGCCGCTATAAGTGCAAGTTTTGCCCGTTTAAATGCTTCGACAGGTCCGAGTGTACCACTCACATCGTGCGTTGTCACAGAAGCATCTCCAGGGGCAAGGAGACCAAGGCCCTCACTCGCTTCATCATCGACCTGGCCAAACAGGGCTCGGAGGTACGCAGTCTCAAGAAAAACCAAACGTTGCAGCGCAAGCAAAAAGCACAGAGCTCTGCTGAGAATATTTATGCTCGTCCAAACGTCCGGAAGGTGCCGCGACTGTCTCAGAGAGCCGTTGTAAAAGATGCAAATGTCCCTGAGTGCTCAAGGAGGAATCAGGACGATGATGATTCTTCTGCATCTCCTTCTCTCTCTCCAGAGGCAGCACCGACTGGGAAGTCTTCGATCTCTCAGGGAACAGACAGCAGGAATCGTGTTGTTCAGTCAGACGTTGTTTCGAGGAATTCTCCCGCTGTGAGGGCAGCAGTGGTGGGGGAGAAAGGGCCGGCAGTCAGTGCAAGTAAATCTCCACTCTCCTCCAACAGACAGATGAAAGAAAGCAAAGCAGAAGTAAAGGCAGTGACGGAATGGGAACAAAGGAAACCAGAGGTGAAGGCCACGGGTACTGCGGTGAGAGAAAGCAGACTGAAGGGGGGTGGTGGTGGTGCCTCAAAACCTACGTCTGCCTCTGGGGATTCTTCACAGTCCCCGTCAAAGGAGAGCACCACGTCCATCCCAACCAAGGACTTATCTGGCAAGCCTGTAAGGAAAAACCTGCCTTTCAACATCTCCACTAGAAACTCGCCGCGAATGTTTGACACACGCCCTTACATCGACACAGTGGACAATGATGATGACCTTATTTCTGGCTCACAGACAGAGGTGGGTGAGGTAAGCTTATCATCCACTCACAGGCAGCCCAAAGACGCGTGCGGAAAGGAGGAAGAGGAGGACTCTGACATGTCTTCTCATTTGTCGGAAGAGGAATCTGTTCCTCTCGCTGATACACCCTCTTCCACTGAGGATGCTGTTGAGAGGAATATTTTTGATACGATGAGAGAGGAGGTGTCAAAGGTCGACGGTAAGGATGCACAAACTAGACAGTCGACTCGAACGGTTGAGAAAAATCAAAATTGTTTTGAGATGGATGTTGAGAGTGTCGGTGTGCCAGAGTGTGAGGTGGCAGCGGTGGGTGTGGACGGAGGGTACACGGTGCAGGTACAGGCCCCACAGGAAGAGCCCTCGTGCGTTCTCGCGCTGTCGCAATCCAAAAAGGAACCGGTTCAGTTTGTGGCGTCGGTTGTGAAGGTCAACAAATTTGCAGATCAGGCTGGTTCAGTGGGCAGCACGGGCAACATTTGTGAGGTATTGTCTGTGATCAAACCCCCGACTTTTCTGAATTCCTCTACTGTTACCTCCACCGCTGCGATTGGCTCGTCAAAAGCTACAGTGTCTACGACAGGTGCGCAGACCGGCGGTGCTGCACAGGGTGGAAGTAGCAGTTCTCCCAAAGTGGTGTCTCCAACGCTCTCCGTAAAGCCGGCAGCGATAATAGTGCCGCAGAAACCAGCCACTGTACTAGCTGGGAAAACAGGGTCGTCGCACATTCCTCCTCCCTCCGCCAGTACTCAAATCTCTGCGGCAGAGGAAGAAAAGACGTCGTCACGTGTGAGCAACGTCGCCCCTGGCAGTTCTCTCCGCCTCCCAGGCACCACCACCACAACAATGACGACGACCAAAGGCAGCAAAGTGGTCGTGTTCTCTCGCTCGGCGGAGGCCGTGGAGCCGATGGTGACCACGCGAACGTCCAGCAAGTCTCTGGCCATGTTGTCGTCATCCTCCGGAGCCTCGGTTCTCAAAGTGACGCCCAGCGAGGGCGGGGTGTCTGTGACCCTGGCCAGCTCAGAGCCGCCCGCGGGAGCCCCTCCCTCCAACTCTAAGTCAGCAGTAGCGCTCGCTACGGCAACCTCAGGGGAAGGAACGGCAACCCCCAAAACCTTCGTCATTCAGCAGCACTATATCTGATGTGTGCAATGTTGTAGAATGGTGCAAACTTGGTACTGTAGTGTGTATATATTGTAAAAATGAGAGGATGTGAGGCTTTGATGTGATGAACGAAAATTTTAACTTTGACAAGACAAGCCGCCTGCACATGCATTCAGGTGTTAATATTAATATTGTATGTGTGGGGGGGGGAATGTTGTGGTGTCGAAAAAGAACAGCAATCTCTGCCCGTCTTCTAGACTTCTCTCCAGTGGCTCCCCGTAAGACGTAAGAGGAAGAAGAGAATAAATCAGAGTGTGTGAAGGTTACAATCTATGACTTATGTTTGCTTACTCTGGTTTGCTTTTGTGGTTCCTCGTTGGTCGACTCACTGTAGAGAAGTTGAGAAGATGAGCAGAGATTGCTGTTTGTTTTTGACAAATTTGTTCCCCAGCACCATCGTTAAGGGAATAAGCTGGCCTTGGCAGTGAGTGTGTGGTGTCGGCAGTCAGTAATTACGTACGTTATTTCATCGAGCAGCGTGAGGTGGAAGAGGCGCGGACAGTAACAGTAGTGTCGGCTGGTGTCACGACGTCGTTATTGACGTCATATGTGTGAGACAGCCTGGTGAAATCAGGCGCTCGTCAAAATAATGACATTTTAAGAAAAGGGTTTTTATTTTTGCAGGTTACGGAATTTTGGTCAAATTTTTGTTGGTTTTTTTGCTCATCACCTTTTTTGTCCATTTAAAAAAATTTCAGTGCGGATTTTACTGAAAATCATTGATTGAAAGCACAAACCATGTTAATTAACAGTTTCCACTGACTTTCAAACTATGGAAGTCACCAAGCTTTGGCCGCCATTTTCTCCCTAATTTTACTTCTGAAACCAGGTGATCCCATCACCATCAACCAAAAATATCTCAAGTTTTATTCAAGATGAATGGGTGGTTGTTTTTTCCCATCGAAATGTAGGCAAATAAACAAGCTTTAAGATGATACCAATATTTCCACATTCCCAAAAATTGACGAGCACCTGATTCCACCAGGTGGTGACTCATAATGCTATTACTGACGTCAGTGTCACCACCAGACACTCAGACTGGTCAGTATTTTTTACTCTAATGTTGACCTCCCAGACGTACCCGCCGTGGGATTCTTATGCACCGTCTCGTCACATTTTGATGAGAAATTTTGAAATAGCAGTACATTTTATTAATCTTAATCATGTGTCAGAATTGAGAATTAGTCAATCTCTACAATGGACACCCTTTTCTTTCTTTGTGAATGCATTTTTGATTGATTTGATTCGTGCAGGATAAGTTGTGCCATTAGTTAGCTTAGTTGGTTTGGAAATTGTTTTCAGTTCAAGCTGCCCGTGCTTCTGATCAGATGGTCAAGGATTATAATCTATATATATATATCATATCATGTAGGGAGATCTTCGGATTCTTCCCCACCTTCTCTGTCCAGAGGTGGACATTAATGTAGAGGGGGATTTGGTGACATTGAAAGAGTGTGAAAAGCTCAAACGTAAAGGTCAGGGAAATGTTTCTTTCTATTTTTTATATTTTTTTTCAAAGTTATTTATTTTTTCATCTGATGTTTGAATGTATTTCTATCCTGTTGTCTCAGAATATCAATCAAAATTTGTGTGCTGTACTGTTCAAACCATGTTTGAGACGGCTGCTTGCATCATTGAGTGTGGTTGCTGATGCTACCTCTGTGTTGTCTTCTTCTTCACACATAGGTATGCATCAAAGTTGTGAAAAAACTGTTAAAAGATGCGGGTCTTTTCTCACCCTTTGTTGTTTGTCTGTCTTTTTCTTGGTTGGTTGGCAGGCGCTTGGGGCGTGGTTTGCTCCTTTTGTCCTCTCAAACATCGACAGTTGTCTTCACCTAAGGTCCCACCGCTTACAATCCTGCTTCATTTATTCAGATTCCACTTTTTTCTGAAAAGTGAATTTTTACTGCACAAAAGTCGCCCCTGAGATCCCACTCTGAAGGACTACATTCGGCTAAGTTCTCGCATTTAAAATTTTAATTTATGGAACAAAAACCTCGGGTGGGCGCAGCTGATCTACCAAGCAGTAAAAATTTGCAATCATTGTAGTGATCGCTGTGTCACAGATCAGTCACACTCAGGAATGTGATCACGTCTTTGTTGTAAACCTTGATGAAGAAACGGTACAATGTTGGCCCCAGACTGAGGTGTGAGTCGATGAGGAGTTTGTTTTCCCCAACATCACACTCTCACCTGGACTTGCATCACAAGCTACATAGGTCGGGCCTGTTTTCCCCAACATCACACTCTCACCTGGACTTGCATCACAAGCTACATGGGTAGGGCCTACAAGTCCACATGCAGATGAGATCACATCAAACTGGGAAGTCTTCTGTGCTTTTGTTTCTCCGATCATCTAAGCAGTTGTCTCTTCTCCCGAATTTGCAAGACAGGCGGAATTTTAACTGGTGTAGTCACAACACAATGGTGGGTTATGACGGGCGGGGATGGGGTGGGGGGGGGATGACTTGGTCAGAGATGGATAGCTATTAACTTTGGACAGGTAACGAGCGCCGTAAAAACCTTTCTACAACTAAAACTAAGGACAGGTAACCGGGAGGAGGAGCAATAGGGTCTGTGTGGATCATGAGTCTCACCATTTATTGATCTCACGCAACTGTGATTGGTCATGAAGTTTGACCACTTTTTGCTCGCCATAAGTCATAAGTCATATATATAGTATAATATAGTACCCACCCAGGGGTTATGTCAGTTTATTTCAGAGTAAGGGAAGATCATTTTGCCCATTGTGGGCCTGACTTTGAGTCACTGTGGGTTTTCTAGGAAAATCTGCCATGGTGCAGTGGCTAAGATTCTGTTTGCCTTTTCTAAAGAAGATCCTGCATTTTCTTTGTTCTCAAGGGCCGGGATCGTAGGCAGAGACTGCTGTGTTGTCCTTTTCTCTCCTCCTTCTTTTCTGTATTTCATTATATTTTTTCCATGTTGTAAATGCCCTGAAACTTTGACAAAAACTAAACATTGTCTTTTTCCTTGCATCAGTTCACTGTTATCCCGTCGTTGTGCTTCTCTTGTCTCACACTAACAAAGTCCTGACTGGTATATATTGGAAGTGAAAAATACTGTGGGGTCCATACCACTTGTCATACCGGCCTGAGTTCTTCTATTTATAGAGTGTCAGGGAACAGAGCCAGCTGATGGGGTCAATCTTTCCTATTTTTTTCCCCTGAGTCTAGGACAGTTATATACTTCTTTGTACAACATACTTCGTAGAATGCTTTTTTCTTCTAGAAATAAGTTACAATGTGGCACCTGGTTGTATGTTTTTTTAGTTTTCAATTTTATTTTTATAATTTTGTCAGTTTTTTTTCCACTGGTGTGTAGTGTCTTGTGCTACTGTGGTATGTCTCATGTGTGATGTGACATATTTCTGTTCCAGCACTTGTGAGATTTTAATGCTGTAGATAGTGATGCTTTCTGGATTATTTCCCTGTTTCTGATACACATACCATCTCTGGTTTCAGGCAGTGCCTTAAATAGCACTTCTGATGGGATAATGCAAGCTATTTCACAGGATTTCTTTGCTCACTCGTAGGATTGATATTTGAAGAACTGTTTCATGTTCTTTAGTTTGTGCCTTGGTTTGAAAATAATTTTTTACTACTTTTTACACTCTTCGAGTTTTTACTTTGTAAGTCACCAGTTTTTTATACTCTGCTTTTATGTTGTTGTTTTTTTTACAATCAGTTGTTTTTTATTTTCGGCATAGTATCCAAGAGCGTTCCCTGATTTATTTCTGTTGGTTTGATACCTTCAAGGAGAACGAATGGTTCTCGATCTCCTGAGTTGTTTCCTAAGTCGTACTTTTGCCGATTGTCGTGCCCACATCAAGAGTTTCTTTACTTGGAGCTTCTCTGCTTCACTGCTGTGTTAATCAGCCCTGTCAATCATTGAATGCTATTTGTGAATATACACCTCAAAAGCTTGGGGGGAGGTGTCTTTTTTTTCTCAAGTAGTGTCTTTTTATATTTTTAGTCCAGATGTTGATTTTAACGCAAATACATGTACTACAGTTTTTATGTGAATTGGAGAGCAGGGTGTCTTTGTCTGTGAACAGGGATACTGTATGTGGCACAGGTAGTGTGGTGACTTGTGTAAATGGGAGCTAACTTGGGTGTAAGCTAGCGTGTAGTGTTTTAGGAGAGATCTCCCCTTGTACCGTGGGACCTGGCTTTTGTTTGTGTAGTGAGTTCTCACCCTCGTCACAGGCTCGCTCTGTTGTTTCTGTCTGTGTAGGTGGTTGGAGGTGTATCTGGTAGGTCCCATTTCTTTTCTTTCCCTCTGTTGTTTCTTTCTGTCTGTCTTACTTTTTCCCAGCACTAAATGATCAATATTGTGTGAATGTGCTTCTCTTTACTCACACAAACAAACAAAACAAAATACAATAAAGTACTCAACTGACCTGTGATCAAACAACGCTCTCAGCCACACATCATAGTTTTCTTCACAGGGTTTCTGCGGCCTCCTTCCTTGAATTTCACCGGATTGGACATGAACAACATTTTTGTCGGACAATCGAAACTACGATTCCTTTCGGACAAGTGCAGGCATACCGGAAATAGGCTTTCGGGGTGCGAGTGCGCTGTCGCAAAACGGCATGAATTTTTTTTACCAAATCTCCTTGAATTTTTTCAATTTCTCCTTGAAACGTGGTTGGTTGGCGGGTGCTCTGGTGTGGTTTGCTCCTTCTTTCCTATTGAACATCTATGGTCTTGATCTCTTCTCTTTTTTTATGTTTGTTACTCACTTGTAACACCTCCAATCTTCGGCACCTATATGACCTTATTGTGTTGCAAGTGCTGTAAAACTCTTACTAAAATTTAAAACCTCCTTGAAATCTCCTTGAATTTGGTGGGGAGTTCATGGCAGGAACCCTGTAAAATAAAAAAGTGGCAACAGCGCAGGCTCAGATGTTGTTGTACTATCGGACACTGTCAACACCATTGCCACAGGGAGTAGCGGCGTCTGGGGTGTAGTGGTTAGGTTCTTCGCTGTCGCACGCAGGAGACCCCAGTTTGATTCCTGAGTGGGGAGAACATTTTTATTGAGTATCTCTTGTCTTTTTGATGGGATGTTGTATCTCTCTCAGCCCGGGAGGGAGGGCCCTGACTGACAGGCAGGGTGATCTAAATTGTGTTGATGAAGGCATAAAAAACTCTTCATTTGAAAAAAAAAAATTACTGGGAATGCTGAACTTTGCAACAATAGTAGGCTACTAGATATAAATCACAAAAGGTTTGTATTTAAAACCTCAAAAAAAAAGAAATTATATAATGCTCAGAGGGGGAATAAAAATCCGTCTTGAGAACAGTCATGCTCACTATGTGTAAAAGTTTTTTGTCCAAAAATGCTAATGTATATTTCTCGTGTTGACGCTTGAAGTTCAACATTTTTGGGTATTTTTATTGAATGCTCCAACTTGATGCAGCTTCAATAGTTTATTTACAGTATTATTAAATTAACACCTGTCTTATTTTATGTACTCAGTTTTTTTTGTTTTTAAAAATTTAAACACCATTTTTTGCTGTAATGAACACACAGATGGTGCTGTGTATGATGTTTTTTGCTCTAGTACTACCACTTTTGAGAATGTTGGTTGTTTTTGTTTTT